TGACGATCTCGACGCGTCCATGTCGATCAACCTTGAAGGTCTTTTCGTGACGAGCGATCACGTGAAAAGGGCCTTCGTAAGGTTGTTGCCAAGGTTTGCGTACCGAATCTACTCGTACAAAAACATGTGAACAGGTAGATAACTCTCGAGGGAGAGCGACCTGTCGATGTTGTATTCGAGTTGACACCGGAGACAGCGTTCACATAAATGCAGACAGTCGACGGACGTTGTCTGATTTACCGAAATTAGGTCTGCTCCGTGGTGTGAAGAATTCTCCGGGCAGACGCAATGTCGTGCCGTATACAAGTTCAGTGGCGGAACATTGGATATCTGCCTTTAAGCTCGTTCTCCCCCTAAAAGAACGAGCGGTAAGGTTTCATGCCAGTTGCCGTTTTCGTGTGCTCGTAGAACACTTTTAAGTTGGCAGTGAAACCGTTCGACTTAACCATTTGGTGCTGGGTAGTAGACGGATATGCTTATGCGTATGCATTCCGTACCAAGCAGCCGGGTCAGCGAGGAGAATCGTTAATAGGGTAACATTTCTCGAATAAAGCGTGGAATTCATCATCACGCGAATAAAAAGTGACAAGGATTCGGTACACATACGTGTGAGTCTATTATATTAATACTATTCTTATCGTTATCCGTCATGTCGCGTATATTATATATTAAAAAATATGAAAATATACGACAGACGTGGATAGATAAATCATAGACTCACCGAATTGGCTTCTTTGGAAGATTTGACCAGAAGCTGAGGCGTGTTCCAAAATACGGGTCACCAATTGTAGTCGAATTGGGATTACCAATTGTAGCGTGGCGTCGAGTTGAGATTAACTATGAACACCGCTACCAAGATATACGTGCCAAATAGATCAGAAGGCGTAAGAAGCTCGTTCCAAATGACTCCATAAAATCCCCGAGAAGCCAAATATCAGAAGGCAATTAATGGACCAAGTCGAGGTTTATTAGCTGGCGATCTCGTGGCATCGAAAGGATACCGAGATCGTGCCAGGATACAACCTTGGTTACAGAAGGTAACCGAATTCGCGCGAAGTTACAATCAAAGTGTAAGTAAAGAATGGAAGCACAAAATAGCTGTCATTAGCACAGTCAAACAAAAGCACGTTAAAACAGTCACTGGTACACTTGGTTATAATAATAATTGTTTTTATTAAACCAGTCGTGTTCTCGTGATAAATGTGAGTCACTACAAATCTGTGGGTGCATTTGCTTGTATTTCTTTTTTGTCGAAAAGTGAGCTTACGGTGGCTTTGATGCGTTTGCCAGGCATTTTAGTGTTTGTCATTTGGCGATTACTGCTCGTTCAAGAACTGCAACGATCAAAATATTAATATGCGGTTTAAACGTAGAACTAACGAATCAAAGTTCATTCGATTGGGCCAAACTACGTTCTCCTGTATAGAATACGAAACGTCTCTGAGTGACTCAAAATGAATTATAACAGAAAATAAAAACTGTCTATTTTAATACGGCTCTAATTTACGAAACAAAACGCATTATATTGTAAATAAAAAGATACCTCAATCGGTACAGCTATGCTATGCAGTCATAGTCTTTCAGTGGCCCGGAATCTGACTCCTATTAGACCATGTGTTGGCAGCCACTGAATGATTGCTATTGAAATACATATTTCTTCTATCCTCGTATATAATTATCCACTTATCTCACGTTAGTGAATAACGGGATTAAAATAAGTCAAATACGAGAAAGGATTTCTAATACGTATATTTTGTACGACCATTGATCTGGACAGACAATCAGAGGGATGAAGCAAATAGAAGAAGGCGAAACGAAATAACGCACAGTGTTGGCCAATTCCATTTAATCAAGCGTTAGTCAATATTTATAGCCAGATAAAAATAAGTTGCAGACATGTGATGAATAGAATAATAAGTGTTCTCACATACGCTCATTATAAAAACAGTCAAGATTGGTAAGTGAATAGTTAACAAGGTCAAAATGTAACTCAGTAAGAAGATATAAATTGGACTGTCGTGAAGCTAGATTGAGGTATATTGGCTTAACATAGCAAATGATACTGCAGGTTTCTCTTTCACGAAGTAACGCGTAAAACAGCAAAAGGAATTCCTGGTAAATAATGGTTCGATACGTAAAAATCAGTAAAATATTCCCATCAAGATGGGGTCAGACATCTATCTTCAAGGATTCTGGTAATCCTTCTGGGCAGATAATCAAAGATTATCAGTCACACACTCAAACAGGCCGTGACTATGCCTCTAGTCAAATATCACCTCATTGACGTTGGTCTGGTAATATGAGGCAACAGGGAAGACTGAAGAACACAAAGTGTGGTTAAAAGAGACCTGAATGAAAGTTAGAATACAGAACAGGAAAACGGAACAAACTAATAACAGTACCGTCGAATGAAATGCTATATGTTCTCCGTTACACTCAACACTATATCATCGATAAGAATAGAACTAACGATAACGTCGGCACTGACGTCTTGAAGCTGCATATTGTGAAGTTAACCCTAATCCTGTTGATTTTCTTGCTAAAAAACTGAGCCCCACGACCTCATAGTTATTTGCTTTCCCTGACAATCGATAAACATCACGAAGCTTTGCTGAAATCCGAAAAATAAGATAAAACAACGCGCTACGTAAGAAGAGTAAGGTCTCAAGAACACTTAAACGACTACTGCGCGTAGTATATTGAATGGCTTTTTGTTTTGTCCCATTGTTGTTGTTGTGTCAAAATGACAAAACCAATTTTTCAATACTCGTAAATGTGTTTGTACATTGCATTTTCGTTGTCCGAAGTTTTTCGCGCTATTGCATGTAATCCATTTTAATTTACATCATGGCAATCCATTTTTATCTATTGTTTTATTATGCTCAGTTGAAATGGATGGTTACAAGCTTTTCTATTTAAAATCGGTTTGCTTGTTCTAAGTTCTTTAATATTAAACTATTTTTAGATATTTATGTTATTGGTCGCAAAAACTGTATTACGTTCAAGTTTTGTTCGCTTGCGTTATTGAAGTACGGTGTGTCGATCTATTTGCAATTTACGAACCCAAATTAACAACAGAACCAATCCCCAATTTAGGTACCAAAGTTTATTCGTAATTTAAAAATACTCAACCCAAATGTCATTCTCCAATTTTGTAGGTTCTCGGAGTAAAAACTCCCAAATACCAAACTAAGGACAAAGAGTAACCAAAATGTTCAAAAATAAGGATATAAACAGACAAGTTCAGAAGTTGAGTAATACAGATCCAGCCTAAAACAGTGAAATTAATATTATTCAATATGAAGCTGTAGCGGTAAATAAATCCCTAAAATAAATAGCCCTGTAAGTTTTCGACATCGCATGTTGACCGTATGTTTTAGTGGACTCATCTAGCTGAAGGCGCTCGGTCATGCATCCGCACTAGATCACGTGTGGTTACGCCGTGCTCAACTGCTACTGCAATCGCTAGCCAGATTAGATCAGGGAATTCCGATATATTGGTTATCACCAAATACACTCTTCCGATCTCCTCGACTCTGTCTTTTGATTTCTCTCGGTGGGTACAAATTATATTAGGTGTCGCTGGTAAAAGCGTTGTCAAACACTGAATACCTGTGTCATCCTTCAGAGCTTTTAGCCAAATGTCTTCAGTCCCCCCATAACAACTGGACGTTTTGAACTATATGAAAATCATACCGATACCACCCAACAAATGGGACGCTAAGCTGCTGTTTTCAAACCTCTCAGTCACCATAATCTTTATGTCAGTAATTTATCAAATACAAAATTATTATCGTATTATCATATGAATATAGTAAGTGTAAAAGCTACATATAACATGATCTCAGATATTGGAACGTAAATAATTCTAACGTTTTATCCAACGGTCTTGTCTGGATTTGTTCAGTGTAAAATTCATAATCCAATCAAGAATCGAACTCAAAACCTTCGATCTCATGCTCGAACGCTTAAGCTCTAAACATGTCAGCCAGCATTCAGTGGTCCACATGTTTAAATCCAATCAGTGCTTAATAATTTAGAAAAAAGCAGGTAACGGAAAATGATGTTCTGTCAAGGTGGGAATCCGTAAAAATTGGAGTTCACCAAGGTACAATCCTCGGCATCTTTTTTACTTTATGTAAATGATCTACCCAATGTAGCGAACTCCTCCATTCTTATCTTCGTTAATTACATAAGGATTTGGAGACCCATACACGATAATATACGATCCGATAACATACTACCACAAGAGTATCTAAATTCGCTGGCCCTGTGGATGGGAAGGTGGTCACTGGAGGCGAATTCTAACAAAAATATACTGATGCATCTAACTATGATGATTCATATAACTACAAAATACTTGGATTTGTGTTACCCAAAATTACGGATCGTAAAGATTTAGAGATTATAATAAGCAGAAGCCTAAAAACTGCGAGCTTCTGCTGAGCTGCTTCTGCCAAAATATTTAGGGTATTATGGGCTATTCGTAGATCTTTTCAGCACTTAGACGAAGAGATGTCTAGAGTACTACACAGGACTTTTGTGAGCCCGAATTTGGAATATGAGATTCAAGCAGCCACCTCTTGCTTCGTTTATGAGGCAGACATGCTAGAACGAGTCCAACGGCGATGGATCAAAATGGCAAAGTTTTTCTGACCTATCCTATGAAGAAAGACTGAGACACCGTACATTACGGGGTGATCTAATATTGGCTTATCGTATACTGAACAATGGCCTTGTTACTGGTGTTTTGTTTCTTCCCATGTAAATTTTACTATTTGAAATGAAATTCTAAGAATGTCCGGAAACCTAGATCTAATCGTTTACGACTCGAGTTCCATTCCTCACACAGAGAAGTGAATAACTACAATTCTCTACCAGAACGCGTAATATCAGCATTTTCTGTTAACACACTCAAAACAAGATTGGATTTCTACAACGTTACAAATTGTAAGAATGAATATAGATTTATAGAATTCCTCCCCTTACTACTGAGGACTAACGGAAGCGCGCATTTCAGTATTTGAGTTACGACATTGGTCGCTGGCGGAATAATCAAAGTAGGTTGTGGTGTTGTGTTAAATTTGCAAATACGAAACCTCAGAAAAACTGTGACTTACGGGAGAGTTCGGATTCATAACTGAGGATCTTGGGTTTTTGCATAAAACACATCCAACCTAAGCAACAAATAAAGGGGAAATAAAGGCGAACAAGGGGAAAATAATGGGAAAACACACAAGGATGTCTGCTTTTTCGCCTGTCAGAGGGAAATGATGCGGGTTTTCCCTCTTTTTGTCGCTCTGTTACAAATGTCGCCCAACTGTCAACTTTTCTCGTAAATTCAGGTCGAATTACCTACTTTCGATGAAATCTTTAACAGACCTGTTGCTTAATCCTAATTGTCTGATGTGTTCGCCTTTATTTCCATAACAAACCACACGGCAACTGCAACCGACAACATTGAAAATGGTACACGTTTAAAGAAATTTATTGAAAGGAAAATACGTCATAATGTACAAGATTACGAATAGTAGATAGATGCTAGAGCATCGATCGCTGTGTGTTCCCTTTATAAGTGTCAAGTCTTTTATACGGTACCAGAATCCAGTACCGTTCACACAGGCAAGGGGCTATCAGGACTCAGTAGCTAGGTGGACAACACGATGGCGTTTGAAGCGAACAGCACTGGGTTCGGGTCTTAGAGTGAACATCAACTCTAAGATGCAGATACATCCAGCTGACGAGTCCCAAATAGGAAGAAACGCACGTCCCGTATTCCATTGCTAGCCACTACCAATCTTTGTTCAAATGGAAGTAGTTTTACTTCTTCAAACCTTGTTGTTATTAACGCTTTTTGCCTTCTTGATTCTCTTTTATGTTGTTTCAGTGTGGGATGGCTTGATGTATAGGGTTCTAAGTCAATACATCTGGTTCCCCTTATGTCTTTCCATGAAGTAGTCGAATATTAATAGTAGCTACTTAAAACTGTTGATCACAATATGTTGTGGCTGGTTATTTTGTGAATGAGATGATAAATATTACTATTTTCATTGTACATTAACCGAGAACCGTTTTATCTTTTGTCACTACAGCAATTAACTGAAAGAAGCTTTCTAATACCCTGTGTAGAATGTGGTAAAAATGGCTATTGGTGTTCATTTAACAAGATTGGTGTATAGATACTAACACAACAGCGTTCTATATTGAAAATGACTGTCCCGTCACCATACGACGGTAACCCACAACCACAGTTTGATTTTGAAGAGGGTATCCCATTTACTGTATTTCAAATACTTTTTTCCTCTCTATTTTGATATATCGTCGTGTTTCGATTCTGATCTAAGCCGTAATTTATGGTTTCCTCGGTGGGATTATAAGTTTATTTCGTATTTGCCTCCAATTAAGTAATAATATGGTGGACATTCATGTTCTCAACTCAAAAATAACTAAGATTACGTAAAATCCCAAACCGTTATACTGAACGTATAAAATGATAGAATGGATGAAAACATGTACATATGAGGTTTTACGACTGATTAGTCACCATGTAGTGACCAATGCCATGTATGTGAGTCCTTCTTAGTGCTGATAGAATTCTGTCATTCAAGTTGCAATGTGGGCACTAGTCTAAGTGACTCGACATTTCGTATACTATGTTGAGATGTAAAGTGGTGGTCGGAGATAGTCAACAGGAAACGTTGGACCTAGGTTTCGCGCCATTTGCTATCCAGTCACAAGATGTGCCTGTAATCTTGAGGGAACTAATGCTCTCTGGCGGATTCGACCCCGTTTCACTTAACTTTAGTCAGAGATATTATCATTGAGCTATGTCAGCCGGAAATAGCCTGTCGTAGGACTGAGACGTATTCAAGGTTGGTTGACCACCGGGTAGTGACTAATATTATGTATGTCTACAGTAATAAAATTCACAAGATTTTGGGCGTACTTGGATTTTATAAATCTTTAATACTAACCTTAGGCTATTTCAGTTAATAGTCTTTGCCACAGACCTACAGAATTCTGGTGTAGTGTCTTCGTCTGAAAAACTTGATAACTTTTGGCTCTCGTAATTTTAATCGACCATTGTGTCAATAACTTCCATGTCAGTGGTTAGAACATACATGAGGCATCAAAGAAAATCTTTTAACACATTGTGTCTTAATGTTATTAAACACAAGTGATATGACTAGTCTCACCCATGGTAAAAAGCAAACGCTTCTAAGCTATCATAAATTTCTAAAAAGCCATTAGGTTGTATACCAATAATCCGTCGTAGAACATTCCGTATATATGCGATTGAAATGTTTACTATATCTATTTTTAAATCATTATTTATGGATTTATCATTTGAATAGAGTATGATGAACTGAATGCTCAACTGGATGCATTGTCAAAGTGCTTAGATATATTGGAAGCAAAAAGTAAAAAAGTATGCGACGAAGCTAAGCGTCTTGTTATTGAATACAGAAGTCAAAACTATGAAACATCATCTTGAATTATTTTCAACATACACTTATCACATAAATATTCTATGTATTTTTTTCTTCATTCATAACATTTAATTTCTCGAAAAATACTTTTGTTGTAATTGATTTTCTCATATTCCCATTTGATTTGTCAAATAACTGGTTTCATTATGTTACAATACTTTTATTTACACATCTCCAAATGATTAATGAAGTTTTATTAGACGGTTATTCATCTTAAAAGTTATGATAATCAAATTAATTATATAATATCTATACCTCACACTTTTTATATGTACTGTCTTAATAACTGACAGAGTGAACTAACGACTGCATATGTAGGTGAATATGCAATTTTCAATACGAATTATGCTATCATATTCGAGACATTTTGTTATTTATTGAAATTTAAAGATAATGATTTTCAGCGATAATAATAATAATACGGAAACCGTGAATTGAAGTAAATGACCTTCACTAATGGTAAGCACCAATTGTACTATGAAACCCGATAACGAACATAAATTTGAATCCAACACCATTGTCGATTCATCTAATCTGATGTGTTTTGATGAAATTACGGAACAACAACAGCCCTTAGATAAGTGAGTAGCTAAACTAACTTATTTACTCCTCCTAGAGTCCCTCCGGGGGCTACTGCCGGTCCCAAGCTCCGGATAAAGGAGGAGGGTTGGGCATGAGTTAGCGACCCCATCCCGTAGAAAACTAACTAGCTAAAAAACGCTAACCAGAACTATTCAAGCTGAACTAAACTTGATATTATAATATTTGATGCTATAGGAGTAAAAACTTACAATTTTTAAAGTCAGTCAGTCAGCTACAACGTAGGACCAGGCACATATGTATCGGTCCAAGTTGCCATAACTCATTAGCACAACAAGATGGACACCGGATTCATAGCAGTGGTTAGGTCAAAGGTAGTAATATGTAAGAGAAAGATTGCATATAGAGATATAGTACAGGAAGAAAGAATTGGTTCGTAGAAAGAAAGATATGAAGCGATTCTAATCTCTTAGGTTAAGGGAACACAGAGAGTGTATACACCGACGCTATTGTGACCGATTCTGAGCCATGTCACCAAGAGTCTCCAACCATTGGGTACGATTGTCATGCGGACCCCAACCAAGTAGTCTGCATCTCCCAACATGGCTCAGACTAGAAGTTAGTGACTTCAAGCACTGATGCCACGTTTTGGTTTGGCCACCCCTAATTTTCTTACAACCGTCCCCAACACTAGACAGTATTGCGCATCGTGGTGATCGGTGTTCAAGCATACGTAACAAATTGAAATAAACAATATTTTGTATTTGCATATATTTATATATAGAATGTTAAAAAAAACACAGTAGTGATTATAGTATAATCCAAGTTATTTAGAATAAAAGAATACGGAAAACAAAGTATTTGGAACCACGAAAAAGAACAAACAAATGAAACTGATAGTTATATGTATATATATATTTCAATGCACAAGACGGAAAAAATATGCACCTTATATAAACTAGTGTGATATAAATAAAAGTTAGAATGATAATAATAGTTTTAGTGATACTAATAAATAATTGATTCACTATAGAATATATTATATTGGCAAAATAATCACATCAAATATTTCCTCAAGAAAAGAAGAATACAAAAAAGTTATAGTCTTATCGAATACAGTCATATATTCGGATGGTATAATAATTGTTTATGTGTGTACCACAACTTTTCCTCTTTTGAAATATAAGTCCTCCTATCAGTTAACAAAGTTTACTGAAGCATGACTTTTAACCTATTTCTAATGACTTTTTCTCATATATTTCTTTTTCTAAAAAGAAGTCATAATTTTAGCTTAAAGAAAGGAGGAAATAGTGTCCGTTAAGAGATTGAATAAAAATGAACAACACATACTAACAGAAAAAGAATTGTTTAATTCATTGTAGCACTAACAAAGAATCCAAGTGTTTCACTACACCTGCAATCCTAAACACCAATACGCTGAAATTACATATTAAGAACAAACCTAAAAGAAAAATTTCTTACCTATGGAAAAATATATGTGTCTAATTCAAAGAAGGGATTGGCTTAAATACTGAACAAGTAGAGTATTACAAGGGAAAATAATGAAACTATAGAACTAGTGAAAACATGTCTTTCTGATCCATGCAAACAAGATAACATCGTGTACATTAAAGTTTTAGAGAAATCTAGTGCAATTTTAACTTTTTTTTTCAACAAAACTTTGCTTATTAAGAAGTAGAACAAAAAAATATAGGTACATATATTGAGAAGAGGGTGAATAGCGAGAGTGTCGCCAAAGGAAACAAATGAGTGCTTTAACTCTAAAAAAGTACAAATTAGTAATAATCGACAACAACAACAAAATAAATAAAACAGCCGAAATTACTACGTCTAGAAAACTGGGTTTGAGCACACTTGTACAGTGGAATTCAATCAGATAAACACGGACACAAAGTTTGAGATATTATTATAGTAGGAAAAATTGGTCGTTTCAGAATACCATCCAGTTTTTAAGTTCATGTAGAATATTGATGTTTGGCTATTACAACACACACATCCGTAGAGTTTCCACAAACAGTTCAAAATAGGCAATGTAAACATTATTATTAGTGATACTGCTAATAATAGTAGTGATATATGTAAAACAATAGATTATAGGAGCTGTTTACTTATGTGGAGGAATAATAATTGAGTGACGCTTGATTCCAGAGGAGCTTGTTTTCAAATAACAAAACAGTCGTGGACGGTAAATATTAACTGAAAAAGGGGAAGAGCAAATGTTAAAAGACCAAAAAATCAAGTATGGATTTGTGTTTGATAGGTATGTAAATGTGGAAGACTTAAGTTGACGAGTCCATCGGTTGACCGTTACCTAATGCATAACCTGTAAAAAATGTACAAAAAACTGGTCGAAAGTAAATTCACGAAGAAAATAAGTAAATGATTAATAGGAATACATACATATACACATCAAGGTTGCTCAACAGTCATTCATTTCCATGTGTTAAGATTTACAATTTATTTTACTCTCGTGAAATTTATTTTCACCGCAGACCACACAACAAATGAATTCCAAATTTGATCGCTTTTTACTTTCGCAAACAACATATGAGGGTAATGTACTAACCTTGACGGTTTTCATTTTCACGATAGATTATAAGTTTTCGAAAATGAAACTGACTAGATACAAATGTTTAACATTAATTAGTGGGTCAAAGACAAACCTAAACCAGGGAAACGTATTGTAATTATTGCACAGCTGAAAAATAGGTGACCTGATACCTGACCAAGCCCGTAAAAAATAATAAGCAATACATGAAAGGAGTTTGTTCCAGTTAACTTATCACAGATGCCGGAGTTAGGGTTCCCATCACAAAGTGACATCAACTATAATGTAAGAATCTTTCGTAGCCAAATGAATGAGTTTCGCGCCAATATATACGAGGTACTACCTTAAATCTGATTGGCTCTTCCATAAAAAGTATAGCACAACTTCAAAAACTTCCAGTCTGTTTTGAAAAATCCAAAAATCCTGTCATCAATGTGTTATGTATTTTAGGTCTATTTGTTTTCTACGGTTTTCGTGGAAAACTAATAAATTTCTCATTGGTACTCTAAGATTCGTTATTAGTTATCAGTTTTGTGACGAGTATTAGTCTTTTCAGTAAAGAAATATGGGTAAATTTCGCTGAGCTTTTACATAGTCCTAAACAATTTACAAGCTGTTCATCATTCGATGTCGAATTTAGCACTGAAATCTGATAGTAGTTATCATGAATTTGATTAGGTTGACCGTGCAATATACTTATGCCATAATTCCTAATTATTACCATATAGATGGCAAAAGGCAAAATGAAAAACGGATCACTTACGTTGTGGTCCCCAAATACATAGTTCACCAGCATCATTCACTGAAGCGATCATTGTAGGCAATACAGGATTCCAATGAACACATGTGATTGGATCTCTGTTTCCTGTACCAGGCGATGAATGTATAGGATGACTACCACTACCGACATGCCAAATGTGTATTCGACCATCTTTAAGAAAAATAATTATTTAGACGCAATAATACAGGCAAGCACATGTTCAAAGAGATAAAGGGATCAAATAAATAGAAGTAATTTGCAATATTAATAACAATAGGACATGTAATACACAGTTCAGAAATTTACCAAATATGATGTTCATTATTATTGACCAAAGTTTAATAACTTCCCAAATTATATGTTATGCACAAACTTCCGAGTAAGTTCGGATTACACATAAATAAGATAGACATTTGGTAATGTAACTACGCGGTAGTCTTGTTGAGTGTACTAAATGATGAGGTATGCAACTAATTTAACGAAGGTAGAACAACTGCTTGAATTAGGGGGTTCTGGTGATCAAATTAGAAATTAGTGGTTGAAAGTAGTGAGCTATACCATCGCAACTGAACAGTCAACAAGCGTTCAGGTAACAAAATCACATTGCAGCGATGCATATATTAAGTACAGATTGGCTGTTCAGCATTTATTTTATTTGAAGATAACAGGCTTTCTATCTTGTTCAAAATTCAATTAATTCAGATCAACATTGATATGGATATATGCAATTTTTTTTATGTCGGATTTATGATATGATAAACAGTGAATGTAGTTGGTTTAATTCATTTCAATAAATGAACTTCACATAAGGAGGATATCGAAAAGTTTTAATTTTGAGGGATATCCACACAAAAATCGAACATTTAACGTTTAGTTAGTGCATAATATTTTCAAGTGTTCCTTTTTTTTCAAAACGTGACTTATGTACTTTATGTGGTCTTTTCTTCGACAGAAAAAACAACCCACTTATTTCATAGTATAGTAGTAAAAATATTTTTAGCTTCTCTCATATGCACTATATGTGAGTTTACAAAAGTTAGAGTTTCATGCTACCCAACAATACTTGAACCAGGATCTAAACTTAATTTCATCATTAAACGTTCGATTCAACTAGGAAACTCCCCCTGTGAAAAATATGTAGTTTTAGCAAAGAATATATATAAGTTTTCAGTAGGGGGATTTACGGAATACTATTGAAATTACGAACCAAAAACCCAGGAGCAATGGACAGCTGTTTAGTATGAGCATCCACAACCCTACCGAGGAACGAACCCAGAACCTTTAGGCCTCATGGGGAGAGCCTAACTATTAGACTACTGACCTGGTATCTGATGGCGTTGATGTCTAACTTTAATCGATCCCCGATATTGCGCGCTCACTAATGACTACCTTCAAGATAAAAATTTCGTGAGTTTTAGTCAGAAGCTGTGATCAGCGTATGGAAAATGCGGCAGGTACCTACTGATAATCATGCAATGCCAGAATTAACTGAAGTTAGACATGTAAACCCTAGATAATTGGTTTAAAGCTTATGCTCTCGCCGCAAGACCTGAAGGTTTTGGGTTCGATCTTCGGTGGGGTTGTAAACACACACTGCTTGAGGAGCCACATAATAGAATTGAACAGATGCTCAATGCATCCGGG